CTTCATCAGGAGGGAAGGTGTACCCCAAGCCATTTATATCCATTGTATGACCCCTTTCCCATCTAATACCGGTTCCACAATGAACACAATAGCAAACAAACCCATTTACCCAAATCATAGCAACACAAAAATTAGAGAATATATACACAGGAGGAAGTATCCTAGACAATACAGAGTAGAGGAGCTCTCCCATTGGGAGCAAGGTAATTCAGAGACAGAGACAGAGAAAAAGACAGAGACAGAGAGAGTCCTAGATCTCACCCAAGGGAAACTCCTGCAGTCTCTGTTGTAGCTACCCAGAATAGGGACATGGATGGAGACTGCCAGCTCTTCTCATGTCTTCCTTGACATGGTTAGGTATTTCTCCTCCCCTTCTGGGTTAAATTTCTTGAAAAGATCATTAACAATTGATGCCTCCACTTCTTTACCTCTCACCTGATTTTAAATCCTCTGCAAACTGACTTCCCACCTCAACATTCAGGTGGAATTGTTCTTTCCCGAATTCTCTCAGTAAAGCCATGTGGTTGTGAATTATAGGACGTTGCTATCTCAATTCAATTCAAAGAATTTCTTAAGTTCCTGCTATGCTCCAGACACTGTGCTCGTCACTGGTCATATAAAGGTAAAAACGAAGATACTTGTGCTCAAAAAACTTTCATTCCACTATAGGAGAAACAACATATCTAAATAAGTAAATTTTATATACATACATACATACATGTATAATACATACATACATATATAATACATACATACATACATACATATAATGGGTAACTCTGGCCCTACCCTTTCCAGGCTAAGCCTGTTAACATTTTACCCCCTGTAGCATTCTCCAATACTTTGATAGCATTAAGGAGTATTTTTTCTCTGTCATCAGCTAAAACCACACTGGCTTTGTTCATCCCTATTTTTAGGGTCCCAATGACTAAGAGCCCAGTTCCATTTAATGTCAGACTAGCTTGTGCAAAGGGTAATTTACTTCAGAGATAAAGCAAGAACATCTCCCTTAACACCTTGGGAACATAATCCTCCCTCCCCCACCCCTTACCAACTCACTTCGGGATGGGGGATGAGGTTCACAGTTTAGCTCAATTCCTCCATGGCATTAATCTCATTAAATTCAAGTTTACAACTCAAAGTACTGGCTTCTGTTGAGATGGATTCCCTCAGGGCCTCCATGCCGGGATGATTGCAATATCCTGCCTAGATTCTTAGACCTCTGAGTCCCCATGGCTCCTGCTTCTAGGCCAGATTAGAGATTCCATTCCCTGCACCTAGAATGGACAACAATAAATGAAAAGGCCAAGGACTGAGCTCTGTTCCTTGGGGTAGTATGGCCTAGGTGCTTTGATAAGAGTTGGGGTGGGGAAGTAAAGGAAATGTTAGGATCCTCCCTCCCTACCACCCGGTCTCACTGGCTATGAGCTGAGAGTCATTTTCACCCTCACACGTGAATGCTACGAAAAACCACGAGTGCTGAGTCAGGCAGTTTTTAAAAATGCCAAAAGTTCTGACTACTCAGCCATTAGACAAAGGCTCTTTCAACAGCAGAGTAGGCCAATGCAGGATGTCCATGCATGTTCTGGTCCTCACTAGATTCTCCTGGGAACAGGTCCCTAGCATCTTCCATGAGAATGATGTCATCTTAGCATAACTGATGGTTTCTCTCCATTTCATATGCAAAATAATTCAAAAGTCATTCAAGGGTAGGCAAACACTAACAACTGGAGGAATCAGGAAAAAATTCCTTGTAGGAGATGGCACTTAAACTATGAATTCCAGGAGGTGAAAAGGATTTAGGCATTGGAATGGTCTATGTGAAAATACAGAGGCAGCAAATGGAATGTTATATATGAGGAACAAGTCAGCCAGTTTGGCTGGAATGTATAGTGGATGAGGGAATAATGTGAAATCACCCTAAAAAGACAGCTAGAGCCAGATTGAGAAGAGATTTAAATAGCGGAGGAGTTTGAATTAGAAGCAATAGGAAACCACTGAAGCTTTTTGAGGAGGGGATTGGCATGGCCACACCTGTGCTTTAGGAATACCAATTTTGTCTCTACTTTTGTGGAGGATGGTTTGGGTAGGGGAGACCAATTAGGAGCAGTGGGATCAATAAGGAGGTGATTATAATTGTCCAGGCAAGAGGGGATGAGGTTTGAAAATAGTGTAGTGGTTGTATGAAAGGAGCAAAGGGGGTGAATGCAAGAAATACTGTGGAGGTAGAATCCACAAGATTTGGCAACTGATTAGATATTAGGGGTAAGGTAGAGTAAAGAGTCAGTGATGACTTCAAGGATGTGAACCTTGGTTCCTGGAAGGATGGTGGTGTCCTCAATAGAAATAAGGAAGTTAGGAGGAGGGTTGGGATTAAGAGGAAAGATAACGAGTTTGGTTTGAGACATCTTTGAGATCCATGTGGAACATCCAAGCAGAGATGCCCTGTAGAAAGATGGGGATGCAGGGCTGGAGCTCAGGAGACATATGAGAGATGGATAGTAGTAGCTCATGGATCTATCAGCATAGATTAATTTATGTGAGCTGATAAGACCATCAAGAGAGAGGAGAGGACCCACGACAAAAATGATGGGATACATTAGGGGTCTGGACATGGATAGTAGTCCTATAAATGAAAATGAGTGGTGGTCTCCTGGCAATTTTTATTCTCTTTTTGTTTGAAAATAAAATTGCAAGTGACCCAAAGGTCAATGAAAAGACTCATGACTGCTAAAAGTAGGCTGCAGTGTCCCACCAACTCCCAGGATCCCAAAGAAAACATGGTATAGTAGAAAGAGTGCTGGGCTCAGAGAATCTGAGTTTAAATCCTGCCCCTGGCTATTACTTATCCAGGTGACCTTGGATTAGTCATTTATCTGCTCTGGGACTCAGTTTCATCATCTTTAAACTCAGTGGGTTGAACTAGAGCATCTCTAAGGTTTGTTCTTTCAACTCTCAATTTGAGATCTTATTAGGTAAATAACATTATTCATGTTATATATAGCCAGAAAAGGAGGTGGATAAGTCATGTGACAATGAGGGATGCCAGACAGATAGCATTTTTAAAATATTCATAAACAAAGTTTAATATGGTCTCATTCACCCTGAGGGAGGCGGTGCCTGATTTGGAGGAGTGGTTACTATATCCAAATAATCTTCTATTTGGAATGTCTAAGATTGTCAAGTCATAGAGTGTTCAGTCCCCTTTCTGCCAGACAGAGTACTGCCCATCTCTTTCACTCCATAACCAGGCCTTTTAATATCTATAAAAACAATAGCAAAATTGAAGTGTCTGGCCTTCTTTCAAGCTTCTGAGTAGACCTATTTTACTAGATTGGTCAATTCTTTAAGGTTGTTTCCATGTAGATCTGCAGCTTGCTTGAGGGCATGTTTCTGCAGGAGAACTCTTTCAACTCAGTGGTTTTGGACATTATTGGTGGTGAAGATCCACAGAAGAAGTGGGCAATTGTGTGTATGTATGTATATGTATGTGTATGTATACACACACACACACACACACATACACACACATATTTAAATTTAAGAGGCAGACCTCCAGGACAGTGGGCACACCTCCTCAGACCCTGGTAGTCTGGCTTCTATCCCCACTGCTCTAGTGAAACTGAGAATCAAATTGCCAAATTGAATTCATTCTTCTCAGTCTTCATTTTTCTTGAGCTTTATGTAGTATTTGACAAAGTAGGAATTGAATATGTTTGCTAAATGGAATTTGTAATAATATTAGAGTATCATTATTAAAATATTATAATATAATGACATGTATTATTAATTATTAGACTTACTAAAGTGTTAGCATTCATTATTATTAGAGTAGTATGGCATGAATCTCAAGGAAGGACAAAGTCAAGATTTTTACTATCAGATTCTATTCATTTTTAAGAATGACAGACATACATATTTCTACATACTTTATCTTATCCACTGTCCAGATAAACTATTGTTTCTAAATTTCTAAAATTCTAATGGTTCTAAAATATTGTGAATACTGTTTACTGTATTTGTGATTAATTTTGAAATTCATACTCCTGGTCAGTAATTTTTTCTAATTATATTTTAAACTCCATTTACATTGCCCAAATAGCAGACCTGCCATTTTGAACTTAAAATGAACAACATTGCAGTAAGATCATATATCAACATCTAATAGACAAACAATTTGATTATGCAATAGTACAATGTCACCCCACTCCCTCTTGGTACTTAACACTGCATCTGCTGGTTCTAATCCTGGAGTTCGTGGTTTTTGGAGGGAAAGTTTTTTGTTTTGTTTTGTTTTAATATGTAAAAGCTTTAACAGCTTTCTTACTGATATTCTTCCAGGAGAGCAATCCAAATGTTATTTCCCTGGTTCCATTCTCTGTATTTGTTGACCACCTCCTGGGTTTTGAAACTGCAAGAAAGTCAACAACATCCTGTAGTTGTTGGGGGAAGACTGGAGCTGGCCAGGGTTCCCTTCACCTTTCCTATGCTCATCCTCTCTCTTCCTAACACTCCATCTGAGCACCCCACTGTCATCTTGCTCCCTTCCCTATTATTCTTTGACTATTCCTTAAATGACTCAAAAAAGTAACAGCTTATTTGGGAGGAAAGTGATGGGGGGACTTAAGGAAAGATGTTTATCCTAAACTATGATGCTGAGAACCTTATCCTCCCCACTTCTCCTAGTCCATAGCAGGGAACCATGATACTTTCTTGAGTGATGAGGAGATGGACGTGAGTTTGTGTGGAAAGGCATAGAAGGAAAGCGCTTGTTAAAGCAGCTTAAACTACATGCACACCATGCAGCTACTGGGAAGAGACGCTGGGGATCAGGCTCTAAATCCTATAAAGCGAGACGGCGAAACCAAGTAGCTCGATTCCCACTTGTGCTCCCAGAGCCTGTGGATCCCCGGACTCAGTAGTGGGGAGCAGTGGGGCGGAGCTCAGACGGAGGCGGGGCCAGGGGCGGGAGTTTCTGGCACTTTCTTGGTGCTGCGAGAATTTCAGGCTCAGAGACAGAAGGCCGGAAACGCCGGCGACGATCGGCTGCTGTTGCAGCTAGCTGCAGGCGGGTCCGCTTCCATCTCCAGCCGGGCGGAACGCGGAGCTCGCCACTGTCACTGCGGGCTGAAACGCCATGGCCAAGTGGGGACATGGGGATCCGCGCTGGATCGTGGAGGAGAGGGCTGATGGGACCAACGTGAACAACTGGCACTGGTGCGGGGTTGGGGATGAGAGGGCGGGAGGGACGGGACGGGACTGGGGACCCCCGCCGCAGGGGAGGGCAGCGTGCTGGGGGGCTCCCGGGACCACGTTCCACCGCACAGCAGGCGCACGTCCCATTGCTCCCCATCAGGGTTCTGGAGCGCCCCTTGACTCCTCTACGTTCAAGCCAGTGACTCGGGTGATTCCGGGCTGCGGACGCCGCCTGCCTGTCCAAGGCATGTGCCAGCACCGTCCCATGCGTCCCTTGTCGCCAGCCTCAGGACATCTTCCCCTCCTTTTTCTTCGCACATCCTGTGTGCGCTTGTCTGACCCATCCTTCTCCCTCCCTACCCCGATCCGGTCTTCAGGTCTTTAGGCATGATAGATACCCTAGGGGCCCTTTTCTTCACTCTTCCCCCCTTCTCTTCACTCTTCCCTCCTCCCCAGTCCAAGGCGTACCTGGGTCAGGCCACCTTTCCTACTGAAAACGTTTGCTGGGAGGAGGGGAGGGCAATGAGGAAAAGGGTTTCTTGCCTCAGCGCTCTTCTAAACCCCATTCTCATATCCAAGGCTGACACTTAGAGAAAAGGAGAAAAAGGGAGCCCCAGTCAGAGTAATGATGGTTCTATGACCTTGGGAAGGTAACTTGACCTCCCTCTGCCTCTGTTGAACTGCAGAATGAAGGTGTGGGAAGGTGGTTGACCTGTTACGGGCGTCCTCTCCCTTTCTCTTTTGGGGATGTTGCAAAATCTCGGGGTAAGGGAGACTGGGGTCTGAGCAGGCGTAGCACACATCAAATTCTCCATATCCCTGAGTGGCCTCCCACCTTCATAGAGAGGGTTGTAAATGCTGTGACTGGTTCTTCCTTTGCACTGTATGTAACCCTGTGTGAAAGGGTGACGGGGGGAGGAAAGCACAGGAAATTAGAATGGGTGTTTCACAGATCTGATTGAAGAGGCCTAGAAAGGTGGTGAGCTTAGCTGAGAACCAGAAATATGTCCCTGGGGTTGGAGTGGTGGTGGGGTGTTCTCCAGACTTGTTAAGGAACCTGTAGCACTGTGTTCTTTTCCTTCTAGCTGACTTTGCTGATAAAAAGGGAACTAGTTATGATTTATAAGGTGCTTGTAGATGGTGCCTTCAACCTTGTGTTATTTAGGGGTTAGTCTGGGCCAATCAGTGCAGGTGGTTAGAAGGAGCTAGGTACTAATTAGGACAAGGTTGTGGACCAGTTAGCTTTCCTCTGTTCTCTCGAAAAAACAGACATTTGCACTGCTTCTAAGCAGTTATGCCCAAAGGTTGGATAAAGGCAGAAATTGAGGCTTCAGTGGAAACATTTGGATTATCTTGGTTTGGGTTTTACATCATGCTTGTTACTACACAAATTACTTATTGTTAAAGAGATTAAATGTGATAATATATGTAAAATACCTCAAAGCTATCTAAATGAGAGCTATTAGGATGATAGATTTAGTGTGTGAAGGGACCCTAAAAGTATGTTTAGTCCAAAGCCTCTCATTTTACGGATGGGGCCCAGAGAGGTTTAAGTGATTTGTCTCAAGTCACATAGGTAGTGACAAAGCAGGATTTAAACCCAGATTCTCTTATTCTAAATTCAGGGCTCTTTGCAACGTGCCATGCTCATTATTGATTGTTATCCTTATGAACTTTAAGTGCCGGTAGAGTTATATAATAATAGCTACCATTTATGTAGCACTTACATGTGTCAAACACTGTGCTAAGCACTTTATAAGATATCACATTTGATCCTCACAACAACCTAGGAAGGTAGGTGCTATTATTAGCCCCCATTTACAGATGAGGAAACTGAGACAAACAGAGGTTAAGTGTCTGAGGCAGGATTTGAACTCAGGTCTTCCTGACTCCAGGCCCACCACCTGTACCATCCTAAATTCCATATACTCTTTAAAATTTTCCCTCAGGAAACCGATGTGCCACATTCTTTATGACAGTGACAGTTATGCCCAAGTCTGGAAAATTATTGGTGCTGTTTTTTGAACAGTGAGGATGAGTTTGACCTGAGTTCTCCAAACCTTTCCAAGCATAGGCGGCTTGGTTTGGTGGTGCGGCCAAGGCCCACACTGAGGTATGTGGTAGTCAAAGTCAAACTCTTGGCCACATTAACTCTAAATGCTGCCCAACTTTTTTCCCCCTTCTGTGGCATATCTGTGGACTTCCACTGCATTGTTGCTTTAAAGGTTACAGCCACATACATTCTTTCATTTGATCTTGGCAATGAGTTTCTTTCATGTGAATTAGTTTAGCCCATCCAACAAGACTTTAAGTTCCTTGAGAGTCACAGAACGTTAGAGCTGGAAAGAACGAGAATTTGTCTAGTCCATGTCATTTTACAGAAGACGAAACTGTGGTCCAGAGATGGCCATCCCAGGAGACCATACCACTATCAGGACACACCCCAAATAAGCCTATAGTAAGGAACATCGGTATAGCTGTTGTTTACCTCCTATGTGCTTAGTGGAGACTCTCATTACTAGAGTACTTTAAGATTTGCAAGGCATTTGCCTTACAACGACCCTGTAAAGGAAGTATTACTATCCTCATTTATAAAGGGAACAGTCTCGGAGAGGTTATACCAGATTGCCTTCTGATGCTATGCTAGGTGCCCTGATGTCATCCATTCATTGTTGGACAGGCAACACGAGCATAAGGAAAATAATTCAAGACCAACATTAATTGAGAGAATCTATTTGAGAGGTCTTTGTAAATTGTAGAGCCACATACAGATGCAAGTTGTATTCTTAGAAGACCAGATACCAGATAATTTGCTCAGTGCGGAAATTCAGAAGGGGGGAATTAGGCATGGAGGAACTTTGAGGTTCATGGAAGATGTAGCTTTTTTTCTGGACTTGGCAGGTAGGATTTGGTTAGGCAAAGGGGGAATGTCAGAGGACACACTGGTGGAGCAGTGAGGGTACGAGTGGGGTTGAGCACGCCAGTGTTGTAGGAGGAGTAGGTCACTCTGGCTGGAGCAGAAGGTTTGTTTTTAGAACAGTGGGAAATTGGGGTTGGTTTGATAGAGTGGCTCCCTTGCTCTAACCTGGCTTGTCTTCTCATTGTTCCAGGGAATAATAGACCTGTATTCATTCCTTGCTACAGGTTTTGTTCAAATTATTCCCACTTCCTGTGGTTACCTTACCCTTCTTCAAGGGCACCCTGCCCTTATCATCCGTGAAGCCTTTCCTGGTGACCCGGGCTATCCTGACCGCTCCTTCCTCTGAGGCCTCTATTGGCTCACTCCTCCACAGATGTATTGGGGCAAGGAGTTATAGGATTATTCCAATTGTCTGTGATTCATCTTCACTACTAGACCAAAACTTCTTGAGGGCATAGATTTCCTCTCACACTTTCCTTATGTTGCCCTCGGGGCTTCATGGTGATTTAGTGCACAGACACTTGTTAAATGTGGGTTGAATAAATGGATTTGGAGGAGGGATTTGGATGCCAGAACTGGTGTCCTGGGGACTCTTAAAGTTTGAAAGTGATACTTTAAAGACAAAGTATTTCTTTACACACTCAGTAGTGAATATGGAACTTCAGGGAATGATATAGGCTAAATTTGCTTTATTTTCTTGTAAGCAAGTTTCATAACAGTTGTAGAGAAATCCATAGATGGCAGATTAGCAGTGGGCAATTGATCGAAATGATATTTTGAGGGACAGTACTAGAGGACAGCCCTGTTCCCTTATAACCCACTCCCTTAGTAACCTTGCAGGGATAGTACTCGGGGCTGGATGGCAGGCAAGGCTGAATCCATCGTGGCACTTCTGTTCTTGGGTAAATCTCTGTAGTGAACTTCCTGCCAACAGGACAGAGCGGGACGCAACCAACTGGTCAAAGGGGAAGCTGCGGGAGCTCCTGGTGGGGGTCGTGGTGGAGAATGAGGTTGGCAGCTGTGAGATCGGTGACCTGAAGCAGGTGGAAGGGGAGGCCTCCTGCAGCAGCCGCAAGGGAAAGCTGATTTTCTTCTATGAATGGAACATCAAACTGAGCTGGAAAGGTAACTGGGGTGGTGTGGTATGGGACCCGTAAAAACAGTGTTAGGGGTACTAACGCTGAGAATGAGCTGAGAGGCTGATGAGGAAAGCTAAAGCAACCAAAAGAGTGGTTGGTTTTTGGGTTTGGGTTTTTTTTTTAACTTTGTTTTTTCTTGTTAAGCTACATTGGGAAAAAGAAGAGCAAAGAAGAAATAGGACCACTGTTCGTTGTGGGTGGGATGATGCTGTAACTAGTTACTGAGAAGAGACAGAGATGCTCAACTCTGACTTTGTTTTCTCTGTTGCGGAGAACCGTCTTTGAACTGAAAAGATCAAAACAAAAATGGCTAATTGGGAATTGTTACTCGAGGTAATTAGGAGCAAGGCAGAGGACATGTAGATGCCCCCTGATAGATGAATAACGCATTTGTTAAGCACTTACTGTATGCCACGCACTTGATGAGTTCAAGTTACCAGGTTCATATGAACTATAGCCACAGGTTCTGAAAAGTCATGGCAGACATGGCTGACACATCATCAGTGTTTTTGAAAGGTTATGGAGAACAGGAGACACATTATAGGATTAGAGTCGGGTAAGCATCCTGGATAGAGACCGTAAACTGTAGGGTAGTGAGCCTTGATTTTAATTCCTGGCAACATTCTTGAGTATATTAGTGATGAGAGGTGTTTCACCTAGAGTCAGCAAAAGCCAGGTTCAAATCTTGCCTTTGACATTTTACCAACTTTGTGATTCTGGCAAGCCATTTGACCTCTGAGCTTCTCTAGGATTTATCTACTGAGTCAAAGGTGGCCTGTACTGTGGTCGAGAAGTGTTTTTCTAAATACTGACAGAATTCTTCTCTGAGAAGGGAAAAAATATTCAGCTGTCAGAGAAAGCCCAGATTAAATGATTTAATGTGGACAGGCTTTGCGAGACTTAAAGTCTATATAAATAGAAATAGGGGTTGCAAAGACTCATCCTGACTTCTTCAAGAACAGATCATATCAGATTCCAACTCATTTCCTTTTTTTGACACAGTTACTTTGCAGGTAAATGAGGGGAGTAGGGTAGATATAGTTTACCTAGATTTTAGCAAATCGATAACAAAGTCTCTCACATTTTTTACGTGGAAAAGGTGGAGATGCGGTCAGGATGATTGTACAGTGAGGTGGTTTTGGAAATATTTGAATGATTGAGACCCAAAGGGCAATCATTAATGGTTTGCTATCAACTTTGAAGGTCTCTAAGAGGAATGCTCCAGGGAATCTGTGCTTGATCCTATGCTTTTTTCTTTCCTTTTTATTAATGACTCAGATAACAGCATTGACGTCATGCTTAGCAGATTTGTAGATGACATAAAGCTAGGCAGGATAGCTAATGCACTTGATGGCAGAGTCACTATTCAGAAAGATTTTGATAAGCTAGTATATTGGACTTAATCTAATAAGATGAAGTCCAGTTGGGTAAATGTAAAATCTTACACTTGGGTTCAAAAAATCAACTTCAAAAGCACAAGATGGGCTAGGCATATAATTTAAGGAGAGCAATGACAAAAAATTAAGGCCTCACATTCCTCACAATACTTATGGTAGTGCCTTTTGTGGTAGCAAAGAACTTAAAACAAAATAAATGCTTATCATTTGGGGAATGGCTAAATGGTGTGTGGATGTAATGGAATATTATTATGTAATGAATTTGAAAAAATGAATATGATAAATACCAAGAAGCATGGACACATGTGAACTGATGCAAAACAAAATCATCAGAATCAGAACAATATACACAATGACAATTAGCTGGAACAATGTAAATGGCAACAACAACAGCAACACAATATTTGAAACTGAATGCTGCAAAATTATACTGACCAAGCTTGAACCAAAGAAGAATTATGAGAAGATACCTTCCCCTGGCCTTTGGCTGAAATGGGGAATTATGGGTGTGGAATGCTGTATATAATGTTAGACTCTTTTGAAGTATGAGTTTTATTCAACTTTTTTTCTTCCTTTTAAAAATTCTTTGTTTTAAATGATGGATGTGAACGGATCAGGGGAGGAATACAGTGGGAAATATAGGCGATGTAAAAACAAAAGAGATCAATACAATTATTTTTTAAGTGCAGTATAGATGTGTGGTGGGGGGTTGGGAAATATAGTTCCATCTGCAAAAAATCTGTGGGTTTTAGTGGACTACAAGCTCAGTGGGTCAACAGTGTGATGTGGCAGTCCGGAGAGTTAATCTGATCTTAGGCTGCATTGAGAGAGGCTTAGTGTCTAGGACTAGGGGGATGATTCTTACCCTACTTAGTCTTGTGAGATCACACCTTGTAATATTGTGTTCAATTCTGGCACCACATTTCAGGAAGAATATTGATTGGTTGGAGAGCATGTGAAGAAGAAGCATGACTTAGGATGATGAAGGGACTCAAGATCATGCCATGTGATTGCTCGATGAAGGCTCTGGGGATGTTTAACTTGGATAAGAGATAATCTAGGGAGGCTATACCAGTTGCTTTTGTGTATTTGAAGGCAGCTATCATATGGAAGAAGAATTAAGTTGTCTAGCTTGGCTCCAGATAGTAGAGTAGAAGTGAAGAGTGGAAGTTATAAAGAGACAAGTTTAGGCTTAATGTAAGGAAGAACTTCCTAACAATTATGACCTGTCCAAAAGTGGAATTGGTAGCCTTGGGATGTAGTGAATTCTGCCCTCCGTAAAGGGATCCAAGCAAAGGCCAGAGGGCAACTTGTTAGGTTGGTCATAGAGGGCACTCTTTTTCAAAGATGGGCTGAACTAATAGTCCCTGATGTCTCTTCCAAATCTGAAATCCTGTGATTTTGAGAGGCAGCAGGCATTGACTTGGAGGGAGAAGAATGGGAGAGGAGGCCAGCTGTTCCCTGGCCTGAGGGAGTTGGAGTTTTCTTCTATAATGGGCTGCTTCCATAGGTGATAGCAGCCTGACAGATAGATTACAAGAGTGTCTCCTCCAGGCTAAATACATAATGAATGTGTATTGATTGGCTGTTGTTGCCTAGGATGGAAGCTGATATTTAAGGAAAAGGTAGAGAAGGTTTAGGTCTCTTGGACTTAGGAATGCTTCTGGTGGTATGGAGTTCTAGCCTTTTTGGTGGTTACTAGCCTCAGTTTCCTACATGGGAATTATCATTCCTGCCCTGTTGTCCTCTTGCGGTGGTTATGGAGATATGAATTTGGTGAAATGCTTTGGGGGTGGAAAAGAGAAGGCATAAGTACTTCTGTGTATTTATGATATGATTACAGTATTGCTGGAATCAAATACAAATTCCTCTGTTAGACATTTAGGGCTCTGTAAAGTTTGGTCTCTTCTTGTCTTTCCAGTCTTCTTACACATTTCTCCCTTCCAGGCACTCAATGGCTCATTAATATTGGGATACTTAATGTTTCTCACATGGGAGGTTATAGTTCTGGTCTCCACATCTTTCCACTGGCTGTCCGCCATGCCTTGTAGAATCCCTGGCTCCTTTCAGTATTTACCTTAGGTGCTACCTTCTGCAGGAGGCCTTCCTGGGCTCCCTGGCTCTTAATGCCTTCTCCGCTAAGATTACCTTCCTTCACTCTGTCTGTATTGTGTGTGTATACACACATGCTCACTCCTCCATTTTTACATATATATATATATATATATATATATATATATATATATATATATATATATATATATATATTATAGTTTCTTCCATTAGAATGCAAGCTTCTTGAGGATGGGGTGTGTTGGGTTTTTTCTTCTTTATAGTAGAGCCTGTTAGGTGATGAAGGTGATAGAGTAGTGGATTTGGAGTCAGGAAGACCTGAATTTGAATCTTGTCTTGTCATTTGCAAGTCACTGAACTTCTCTCAGACTCAATTCCTCATCTGAAAATGGGGGTAATAATAGCACTTACCTCCCAGGGTTGTTTGTGAGGATCAAATGAAATAATATGTACAGAGCACTTTGTCAACCTGAAAGCTGCTAGGTAAATGTTAGCTATTCTTATTATCTCCAGTGATCAGCGTAGTGCATGATACATACTGTAGTCCATGACAGACTAGATAAACCTCTGAGATCGCTTTCTCTCCCCCATGGTGCCTAGAATGTCTTTTCCCTCTTCCTTAACCTTCGGAGCTCATCTCAAGTTTTACCTCCTCCTGAACAGCCAAGGGGTCACGTTGCCCTTTGCTTTTCCTGACTGAGCGTGTAGACTCTAGACTTGGTTATTGTGTTCTGTCTTATGTTGCTTTCTGTGTTTTTTATGTGTGAGTCATTATCTTCCTGGTGACCTTGATTATGACCTCCTCGAGGCAGGGACTATGATAGGTGTTCAACTGTTTTTTCTTTTTCCCCTACAGCATTAGTTATGATAAATGTTTGCTGAGGTAACTGGGGAAGAGCAGCATATAGATGACCTTAGAATCATCTTTCAAGACTGGATTGTCCTTTAATGCTTGGATATTTTCTCAGAATTGGAAGTTATTTTCTTGTGGGTGTACCCAGTGAACAGAAGGGAGCAAACATTTATCAAGCACGCTACTAAATACCTGTGCTGAGCAATTTACAAATGTTTTCTCATCCGAGGCTCACAGCAACCCTGGGAGGTAGGTGCTTTTATCAGCCCCCATTTTACAGTTCAGGAACTGATGCAGATAGAGGTTAAGTGACTCACTCATGCTCACACAGCTAGGAAGTGTCTGAGGCTGGGTATGAACTCATGTCTTCCTGAGGCCCTTTATCCAGGCCCAGCCCTTTATCCAGTGTACCACCTAGCTGCCTCCAACAGTTAGATACCTCTAACAGAAATAGCAGTTTTCTGTGGATTTCTGAGAGGCTTGAGTAGTGACTACTGACAGAAATTTTCCTAGAAGCCTCAGGGGTGAGCCTCCTTTTCCCCAAATCACAAAGGGCCCAGTCTTACACTGGGTAGGGCTTCCACCTTATTAGAGCATTTGTAGTCTGTGGCTATGTCAGTAAATGCAAGCACTGTCATTAAGATCTCAGAGATGGTAGGATATGTCTAGGGAAGATACTTATTGAAGGCAGCGTCCTGAAAAATGGAAATGAAGTTAGCCCTTGCCAAAATTAAGAAGTGAGTAGACCTCAGAATCTTCCCTTTTTCATCACCTTGGACCAATCCACTCAGACCTTCTGCTGGTACAAAATTTAGATAAGCCATAAATACAGATAATGACAATACACATTATTTACACATTTAGCACATTCAGGAATTGTAAAACAAGGTGGTTTGAGGGAGAAACAAAGGTGTGAAAAGGAAGGTCATTTTCAAAAGGGGAAAGTGAGAGTGAGATATGATCAGAGAAAGCTTCATGGAAAAGGTAGCAGTTGAGATGGATTTTAAAGGCTGAGTAGAAAATCATCAAGTAATGAGAGGGAGGAAAGTGGCCATTTCAGGGTGTAAGAAATGTCATGGGGAGGCGTGGAGGGGGGAGAGCACAGGGCATATAAGAATACCAAATCTTTCAAATGATTAAATTCTTTGATGACCCTGGATGCCCAGTCTGTTTTCTGCATGTGCTGTAGTTTGTAAATGTGGCATCTGGAACCGTACATAGTACAGTTCATAAAGTTGCTGGCCCCTAGTCCTGTTAATGAATTATAACAAAAAATTAAACATTTTAAAGCCTTATTGTGAACATGCATACTTGTGTTAATGCAGCCTGGCAATATATAAGCTTTTTTGCTTACCATATCACGTAGCTGACTCAAATTGACCCTGTAGGCCAAAAAAGCTTAAGGGACTTTTCATATATACCATTTTCTGAAAGCTTCTGTCCTGTGTAGAAGTTGGGCAGTTGATTTCTTTAACTCAAGTGCAAGATTTTATATTTATCACTATTAAATTAAATAATAACATCTTCAACTTTCTTTTTAGTCTGTCAAGATCTCTTTGGATCATGACTCTGTCATCCAGTGTATTAGTGGGCTTTGTGTTATCTGCAGGTTTGTTAAGGATGCCATGTATACCCCCACCCAAATCACTGATTAAAAAAATGCTGAACAGAAGAGAGCTAAAGACAAAGTACTGAGACACTTTACTACAGACCTTCCTCTAAGCTGACACCAATTATTTAGTCACTATTCTTTGGGTCTTGTCATTCAGTCCAGTTCTGAGTCTACCTAACTGTACTGCTATCCAGCCTGCATCTTTCCATTTTCACCACAAAGTTGCCCGGAGTGACTTTTATTTTGTTGAACTTGAGGTAAATACTATCCCTTGATCAATCAATCTAGTAATACTCCTGTCCAAAGAAGGAGATGAATTTAGTCTGTCATGACTTGTTCCCAATGGATCAATACTGCGTCACAGAGAAGCACCAGTGAACTCATGTGTTTCATTAGTGGAGACTTTCCTGGCTTGTAGCTGATAAAACTCCTCTCCAGGCATTGTTTTAGTGGAAAAAGAACCCAGCATAACCATTCATTGTTAACTCCAAGTCTAATGCTATTAATAGCTCGGCAGTGGATTTTCTAATCCCTGGATTTGGAAAAGGTGGCCACCTCTCCCTGGTGCTCTGAGAAATCTAAGCGGGGGGGTGTGTGTGTGTGTACATATATACACACGTATATATAATATATTGTAACATTATACTATATACATGTTAACCTATGTATATATTTATAGCAATCTATATATAATTACATAAATATATGCACATTATTAGTGCATAGTTATGGTATGTAAATATAATACATTCATTTATATGGATATTTTAGATATTATAATATGGACTTAATATAACATATGAATGCAAATTCAAAATACACATTTATGTAAGTATATTCCATGTAGATATATTTAAGATCTCTCTCTATATATAATGTGCATATATACATATAATGTAACATTATATATGTTGTACATTCCAACATATACATGCACATGTGTGTGAGCCTTTTCAAGGCTGCTCAATATTCCTTTGAGCATAATTTCACCTAGGTAGAAATGTGGTAAGTAGGCTAGTAGGTTGTGCCTTAGGTCCTGGTCTCCCTACTCAACAGTCTTCCTGGATAGTCTTTAAGGCCCACATAACAGGCTTTTTAAAATATAGTGCTCTTTCCCTTCCCTAGGTTGATTGTTTATTGACTTGGATGGTGGGACTGCCCATTGTCATGGGGAGACATTTTGGGGCAGACAAAGCCCTTTGATAACCCCTGCTTACCCCCCCGTAGATGCACTAGAGCTGGATGCTGAGAAGATAGAAGAGCTGGAGATTGTGGGAACACAACATATGTTTGGTACAGCTTTCAGTTGTTTGTTACTTTTGTTTAAATTGCATCAGGGTGCTGTGTGGGTTAGGCAAGGAGAGGCTGATTTTTGTTTATGATGGGTTTTGATTTTAATTGAAGAATTCATTTTGTTCTTTTTAGGTATAATCAAGGAATCTGGTGCAAAGCATAGAGGATCAGTTGAAATACCTCACCTCTCTGAAGAAAATGAAGTGGATGATACAGAGGTTTGTGGTCATGTTTTTTAAAAAATTGCTGTAGAAGTTGGGCACTTGGAGAATTGCTTATCCCATGGAATCATTCCATTTGGTGGTATTATTGAATTACAATTGTCACATTGTTTTAATGAGTGAATTCTATTAGTCTAGTGATATTTTCCTCTTCTCCCTTCCCTTCCCTTCTCTCAGAGTATTTCCTATGATATTGTTGCTCCTCTGCAACACTGAATAACTTTTAAAGAAAATAGCTGTTCCCTGGTTAGTTGTGACTTCCTCGGATGTCTGGCATTTCGTTAAAGGGACTGGTGAGAGTTGCTTATCAGAGAAATCCCTCTTCATTACAGGTTGCACCATACATGGGAAAACTTCTGAGGGAGGGAAGCCCCTTCTTAAGGGGTTTCTGTGCTGTGCCGAGAGAGTGCATAATGGTTTGGATGCACTGGCTTTGAATTAGAGGACTTAGTTTCAAAGCCCACCTCTGTTAATTATTACATAGGGGAAATCGGACAAGTCCCTTAACTTCCTAGGGCCTTCTATAGTTTTTGCATCTGTAGAATGAAGAGGGTGAAGAAGATGGCATATGAAGCCCTTTGCATCTCGAGAACTATCACCCTGTGATTGTGTTATTTTAGTCTTAGGTCTCTGGAGAAGCGTTTTACAGAAGGAAACCTATTCAACACACTGTGCTGATTCTACTGTTTTGAGATCAGATTTTTAGTAGGTTCATGTTTTTCTGATTTATAGATAAATGTGAGTAAAAAGAAAGGAGACGGAGATTCACTGAAAGAGCTTATGAAAACTGCAGGGGTGGCCAAGGTCAGAGAAGCCCTTGAAAATTACCTGAAAGCCCTGAAGACAGGTAAAGCCAGTGAGCTGTGGTGTGGTCTTTTGTTTTTTTTTCTTTTCCTGTTTTACTAAGTTATCCCCACCTTCATCTTAATTCTCAACTTAGTTTAGTATAATACCAGATTCTTCAGGAATAAATATAACTTTTTGCTCTAGGATTAAATTTTATTCTGGAAGAATGGAGTTGATCACTGCAGAGACAACAGGGTTTTGCATGGTAGGCAGAATGGGCCTTTGTGCATCAACAGTGGCCACGTGCTAAGTCTGGTTTCAAAAAAAAAAAGTATTTTTCACACGTGTGTGCTTATGAGACATAAGCAGTGCTTTTCACACCATGGATGCATACTTAACACATGGTCACTACTTATATACAAGGTCCCATTTTTCCTACATAAATTCATACATAATCTTACTTATTGGGGGTGGTGGTAGTGGTGGATCAGGATCATAGGGATCCTGATAGAAATATCCTAATAATTCCTGTGGCAGATAATTAATAATAACTGGGGAAACAATTTGAGCTATATGATTTATTAGTAAAACAGGTATAATAAATGGGTCAGTGGACTCTCCAGTCAGTCTAAAGACCCTGAATACGAGTTAGACAGATTTTTATGTATTAAAAGCAATTTTTCCAAAAGGCTAGTTAATTAAAATAAATTAACCAAGATAAAAAATTAGGTAATCTGATTTCTAATTGGAGGAAAGATTGAGGACTTTCCAAGTTGGGAGGGGGAAAGTCAACAGGTGCAACTTCCTGAAATTGGAAAATTCCAATTCACATTCCACCCAAGTGTCTGTATTCAATCAAAGAAACATGGGAACAATAACTGAGTGACCAGTAGGGGACAAGTTTTTAGATAAGACATATGAGTTGCCTGAGACACTTAATTGTGAGAAAACTACTTGTGCCAGTCTTTGAATATGACTGAGTTTCTGGTCATCATAACATAGTTAAGAGTCTCTAAGCAACAGGTAGGGGTAGTTCAGCTTCTCAGCCATCCATGGACAGGTTAAAACAATGCAATAAAGTTTTCTCACAAGTCTCATAATTGAATAAAGTGTTTTTTTTTCACAAGACAGAAATTGAACTAGACCCATGTAATTGAATAGAAAGGGAACTGAGCTAGCTCCAGCATTGAGTCACAAGATGGAGTTAGTGTAGTTCACTTAATTCCCACATCCCCAAGTCATGTTTTAGTCTGATGTTTCTCACCTTGGGCTCTATAGAACCCTAATGTCTTCCATGATGTAAATTCAATTTGATATTTCAATGCCTACAATATGTAAGGAAATCTTCCTGACAGCTAGAATCTAGAAAGACAAAAATGACATAGTTCTTATACTCACTGAGGCTGGGTGGAGAGGAGTGGAAACTGGGCAGGAGATTATGGGACATGTACAGGTGTGATAGAAGGTAGGCTGTGATGGGGCAAAAGAAAAATCAAAACAGAGTACTCTAGGAATATGTGGGGCAGGAAAGAATATTCAGCTGTCAGAGAAATCTCAGATTAAATGATTTAACGTGTACAGGCGTTGCAAGACTTAAAGTCTATATAAATGTTCTGTTATTGTTATTAGGAGGTGGTACCCAAGCCGAGCCTTTAAGGGATATAAGCTTTTGGAGGATGGCCTGGGTAAATGTACAGAGACAGGAGATGGTCTATTGTGTTTAGGGAATAGCTAACAGTCCAGTTTGCCTGGATCATATAAAGGGAAGGGAATATGTGTGAAATAAGACTGAATAGATTGTAGAGGGCCTCAAATGCCAAACTAGAGAGTTTGCATTTCATCTTGAGTCAGTAGGCAGCCACTGAAGGTTTCTAAGTTGGAAAATGACAGAGGAGCATAGGAGCATAGATTTAACACTAAAGGGAACTTCAAGGCCCCTTATTTTATAGATGAGCAAAATGAGGCTTAGAAAGGTTAAGTGACTGTCCCGTGGTCATACACACAGAGCTGTGAAGTAGTCAGAAGAGGTATTTGAATTCAGATCTCCTTGACTCCATGACTAGCAATCTCTCTCTGTCTCTCTTCCCCACCCCCCTCCCCCACCCCTTTCTCTCTCTCTCTCTCTCTCTCAACTGGTTTATTTTCATTATAAGGAAAAATCACAAAACAAAAATGAAAGACAATCATTATAATTTTGTAATATACATGCTATGTAACTGGAATAGCACAGAGTCTATGTCCTAGGAGGAGGCATGGTCAGGGGAGGGAGGAAGTTTTTTCCCAAAGGTGACTGCTTTTTTCCCATATAATGTGGGATTCCAGACAAATATCTGGCATTCTGCAAGGCACTCTTCTAGATGGTGGAAAAAAAGCTGATGTAACATTCAGTTCTTGTGCGATAGGCACTCGGTCTTTCCTTTTCAGGAAAGAGATTCTTTATTTTTTACTTCAGAGACACTTGTAGCACTGTACCTCCTATTCCATCCTGCCTTATTGTCAGACCTATGACTTGTGAAGATTTTTGATAATTGTGTTAGAACGCAGATTGGAGAAGACAGACTGACCGAAGAACATTAGGGTAGTACAAGCGGGTGGAGATGAGAGCCTGAACAAGGGTAGTGATTCATACTGAGTGGAGATAAAGGAGGATTAAAGATGATAAAGAAGTAGAATTGACAAGATATGGTAACTGAAACTTAGATATGGAGTGGGAGAAGTGATAGTTAGGTAAAGAGAAAAATCAAAGATGATTCTAAGATTTCAAACCTGGGTGCCTGGAAGGGTGGTATTACTGTGGGCAGAAATAGAGAAGTATGGAGGAGATACTAGTTTAATATTGAAATACTAGAATGCTTAAATACTTTGCTGCTGTTGAGTTGTGTTTGACTCCTTGTGACCTGGTGGACCATACCACGCCAGGCCCTTCTATCCTCCACTACATCTCAAAGTCTATCAAAGTTCCTGTTTGTTGTTTCCATGACACTATCTATCCATCTCATCCTCTGCCGTCATCTTTTCCTTTTGCCTTCCATCTTTCCCAACATTAGGGTCTTTTCCAGTGAGTCCTGTCTTCTCATTATGTGGCCAAAGTATTGAAGCTTCAGCTTCAGTATTTAACCTTTCAGTGAATAGCCTGAACCATTTCTTTAAGTTTCAATTGATTTGATCTCCTTGCTGTCCAAGGGACTCTCAAGTCTTCTCCAGCACCACAATTTGAAAGCATCATTTCTGTGGTGCTCAGCTTTCCTCATAGTCCAAATCAGCTGTACATTGCTACTAGAAAAACCACAGCTTTGACTACGTGGACCTTTGTTGGCAAGGTGCTATCTTGGCTTTTTTAGTATGCTTCAGATTTGCCATAGCTTTCTTTCTGAGGAGCAAGTATCTTAATTTCATGGCTGCAGTTACTCTCTGCAGTGATATTTGAGTCCAAGAATATAAAATCTGACACTACGTCCATTTTTCTCCGTCTATTGGCCAGGAAGTGATGGGACCAGTTGTCAAGATTTTAGGTTTTTTTCTTTGATGTTAAGCTTCAAGCCAGCTTTGACACTCTCCTCTTTCATCCTCATCAAGAGGCTTCTTAATTCCACTTCATTTTCTGCCTTTAGAGTGTATTCCTCCTGGCAACCTTAATTCCAGCTTTTGATTCTTTCAGCCTAGCCTTTCACATGAGATACTCGGCATATAAGTTAAACAAATAAGGTGATAGTATATAGCCTTGCTGTACTCCTTTTCCAATCTTAAACCAATCAGTTTGGTTCTAACTGTTGCTTCTTGGTTCATGTATGGCTTCCTTAAGAGACAAGTAAGATGATCTGGCACTCCCATCTCTTGGAGAGCTTGCCACATTTTGTTATGATTGGCATTGTCCTTCTTTAGGATTGGGACATAAACAGATCTTTTCCAACCCAGTGGCTACTGTGGTATATTGAGTACAGCACTTGAACGGCATCATCTTTAAGATTTTAAATAGCTCAATTGGAATTCCATCACCTCCACTAGCTTTCTTGTTATGCAATGCTTCATAAGGCCCGCTAGACCATTCTCCAGGATGTTTGGCTCTAGATCAGTAGCCACACTATCTGGTTACCAGTAACATTAAGATCTTTGGTGTATAGTTATTTTGTGTATTCTTGCCACCTCTTCTTAATCTCTTCTGCTTTTAAGCCCCTAGCATTTCTTTTATCATGCCCGTTTTTGCATGAAACTTTCCCTTAATATTTCTATTTTTTTTTTTGTGAGGCAGTTGGGATCAAGTGACTTGCCCAGAGTCACACAGCTAGTGAGTGTTATGTGTCTGAGGCTGGGTTTGAACTCGGGGCCTTCTGACTCCAGGGCCGGTGCTCTCTCCATTGTGCCACCTAGCTGCCCCAATATTTCTAATTTTCTTTAAGAGATTTTGTCTTTTCCATTCTATTGTTTTCTTCTATTTCTCTGCATTACTCATTTATGAAAACTTTCTTATCTTTCCTTGCTATGCTCTGGAATTCTGTATTCAGTTGGATATTGTTCCTTTTTTCTTTTACCTTTCATTTTCCTTCTTTCCTCAGCTACTTGTAAAGCTTCGTCAGACTTTTTTTTTTTTTTTTGCTTTTTTGTTCTTTTTTCTTAGGAATGTTTTTGTTGCTGCTTCCCGCTTAATGTTGCAAACCTTTGTTAGTAGTTCTTTAGGTACTCTTATCTACCGGATCTAATCCCTTAAATCTATTCATCACCTCCACTTCATATTTCTAAGGGATGTGATTTAGGTCACACCTATATGGTCTGATGGTTTTTCCTACTTTCTTCACTTGAAGTCTGAATTTTCAATAAGCAGCTTATGATCTGATCCAGTCAGCTCCAGGTCTTGTTTTAACTGACCATACAGAGCTTTTCCACCTTTGGCTACAAATTACATAATCAGTCTTATTTCCATATTGACCCCAATGGTATATTGGACAGCTTCCAACCTAAGGGGCTTATCTTCCAATGCCATCTTTTTTTTTTTTTTAATCACTGTCTGTGAGGTTTTCTTGGCAAAGACACTGGAGTGGATCAGAGCTCTCCACTATGAACTGTCTGTCTTGGGTCACCCTGCGTAGCAAAGCTTATAGTTTCATTCAGCTATGAAAACCTCTCTGCCATGACAAGGCAGTGATCCAGGGTGAGGCTTAAATAGGGATTGTAATTTCCTAGGTGTTGAGACACACTCTCTGTTGACCGAGATCATGGGCTTTGAGAATCCAGGGTCACCTTCTTGATATGAAGGATCAGAGTAGGAATTTTGTGGCGGGTATTACTATCATCAATTATCAAGTAAGATGAAATTCATATAACTGGATTTTTATAAGTTCCTTATTTAGATGTTTTGTGATTTGCAAAATAAATTATCTCATTTAAGCCTTTCATCAACCCTGTGAGATGATTAGTGTAATTATGAGCCCTATTTTATAGATGAGGAAATCCAGAATTAGAGAGGTGAAGGGACTTGACCAGGGTTACACAGCAGGTAAGTGCCAACAGAGAATTGATCCCAGGTCCTTTCAGTACAAGTCCAGTGCTCTGTCCAGATCATATTAGTAATAAATAATAATATGCTGATAAGGAGATTTGAAACAAAAGTCAAGAAAACTCACCTCATAAAAAGGCATTTGAATACATCTAGCTTCTGTAATTAACTAGTTATCTGGATGGAAAGAGATATGCTAAATAGGCTTGCTTGAAAGAGCCTTAGGAGGCAGCTAGGTGGTTCAGTGGGTGAGGGCTGGGCCTGGAGCCAGGAAGACTCAAGTTCAAATGTGGCCTCAGACACTTACTAGCTGTGTGGGCGAGTCACTTAACCTCTGCCTTAATCCACTGGAGAAGGAAATGGCAATCCATTCCAATATCTTTGCCAAGGAAACACCATGGATGGGGTCACAAAGAGTAGGACATAATTGAACAACTAAACAGTAACAAACTAATGAACCTCACATTTTTCTTAATGTGTCATTTCTATAAACTCTCTTTCAATTCCTTCTGTTGCTTTGGCCCCTCTGTCTAACCCCATTTGTGCTTAAAAGGAAAGAAATCCTTAGTTACATGCCTTTTCTTACAGAATTTACAACAGGAATGATTTTACCAACAAAAATTGCACCTACTCGAGAACTGACTGCAAAAAGGAAATTGAGTGAACATACTTTTCAGGTAAAGGGTTTGTTGGCTGCTGGGAAGAGGGTGGCTGTGAGAAGGGGTTTGGTGGTACAACTGATAGAGAAGGCCGACAATGTGAATGGGACACCTGAACCACCTTTTTGGATAGCCTTCCCTAAACACTATTTCCTTTACATACTGGCCACCATATTATTGAGGAACTAGTGGACTAGTCTTTATGTTTTTGTAGATGCACAAGTGGGGCTTTGTGGGATCAGTAGCAGTGTATTTGAATTTCCCCACCAGAACTGGAATCACTAATGCCATCTGAAAAGCCAGTGTTACTATCCTGTTGCTAGTTGAGAGGCTATAGAAGAGAGCACAAAGTGTGTTTTGGGTTATTATAACCTTTTTATACCAAATCAGGAGAGAGCAGCCTCTCCTTTCTAAATGACCTTCTGGATAGGTAAATTTGAAATTGGCTTTCTAGGTTCCCAGGTGAGGGGGCAAATCCAAACCTTACCTTTAGTGCTAACCATTATATGTACATATTACAGATGCCTAGAAAAGGGCTATGGGCTTTAATTTATGACTAAATGTACATAGTTACAAAAAATAAGGGTTCAGGTTGTGGGCTTTAGTAGCCCACAAAGATAACTGGCAATTAAGAGATGAAATCCATGACTTGGGAATCTTTAGTAACAGATTTTATCCAACTGAGCAAACCAGCAAGGGGGGTAGACAATAGGCCAATCTACTGATATCCTCATTAATTGTCTTTTGGGGCTTTTTTTTTGCTTGGGCTTCAGGATTCAATGTCTCCAATGGCTCTGGAAGCAGTAGGTGTGAGGATTCCCACAGTGACAATATATATGAGGGAAATGTTTGACGCAGCAGTAGAAGAGCTATATAGCATCTTCACCACTAAGGATGTAAGTATCCCTGAACATCAAATTTTTGAGATGGGAAAATGATCTTCCTTTTGGTCATGTTCCTAAAAGGCCATAATAAAGCAAAGTTTCTTCTAACTTAAGGGATGGAGGGGCAGCTTCTCTCTCGTTAACTTCAAGGAAGAAATAGGCATTTTAAGTCATATTCAGCTTGAAGCATTTCTTCAGTTATTTACTCAAGGAAAGACTTTAAAAAAAACTGAAGATATTAATTTTTAGACTTATGACTGTTCTGCCCATGACTTTGTCTAGGTTAAAAACTAAACTGATAGCTTAAGATGTGTCCTGCAGTCTTCGCATTGCAAAGTGTTATAAACCTTGACTTAAGACCTAAGAACAACCCCGAGGCTTTTTGTGTCTTATTTGTTTAGTTGGTGCAAAAGTTTTCTAAATCTTCTGCTGTGATAAAAGCTGAAAAAGGAGGCAAATTCCAGATGTTTGATGGGAATGTTACTGGTGAATACCTAGAACTGGTAAGTTAACACTTAAGTTGAAACTTGAGAAATTGCTTTGTTTGGGGCCCATTTCCCTCAGTGGTAATAGCTTTCCATCTCCTTCCAAGTCCCTTTTCTCCTTCAAGACACAGATCAAGCACCATTTCCTGCATGAGACTTTTACTGATACCAAATGGTAGACTATCTTGTATTTTAATTACTTTGTATATATTTTAATGTAATTAAATTAACACTTTAATTACTTTGTATGTATTTGTATTTAATTACACATATCCACCACACACCCACACCACCCCTGCCCTGATACAAATGTAAACTCTTAACAAGTCGCTGTGCTTGTATAGCCAATGTCTAGCACAGTACTTGGCCCCCAATAGGTACTTAACCGATGCAGTTTTTTGTTTTGTTTTGTAATGGAGGGAGTTCATATACCTCATACATGAAAACATTGTGTGTTAAAAGTCAGGTTGGGACATACAGTCCATATCCGTTTATTAATATCCCATACAATTTCTGTGAATGCTTAGATTTTGCTTTTGTTTTCAAACTAGTAATCTGCTTTTAAAGAACCAAAGACAAATAAAACCTTGAACTTTCTCCTATTTTGAGTGAGTGGCCAAGGTAGCCAAGTTCTGTCAGGAGCAGGACACTTGTGGCTATACTGGCAAATATATCAGCTCTTAGCTTTGTCCTTGATATTGTGGTTGTAAAAGAATTTTGTCAACATGCTCCAATAATGCAGTTAATGATCTAGACTGTACCTATGATTTTTTTCCTTAATTTTTACAGTTTTAACTTGAGGATTTTGATGAAGCACTAGTCTTGGAAGTAATTTCAGGGTAGTTTCTCTTTACTTGTTTTCAGTTATCCAATCAAAGGATTGTTATGAAGTGGCGATGTAAGAGCTGGCCAGAGGGTAAGTAGTTCTTGCCTCTGCTTTAGCCTAATTTTAACAAGCAGAATCTGTAACAAGAAAATATCCCCCCCCCCATAACTCATTTAAATAATGCTTTAAGGTTTGCCAAGCACTTTTCTATGGCAACACTCTGAGGTGGGCAGTGCCAAGCTATTACCCCCACTTTATAGATGGAGATGATAATGTATTGGTAGTTCTTTTGGTAATACAGATTCCTGCTAGTTTGTAGTAGAGGTCCTGCCGTCCCTTATCTCGCTCCACCTCTAGCCTCCCTCCCTAATCTCTCTTAAACAAAAATCTTAGGAATTTACCTGAGATGTTTCCCAGAGCTACAAGTTAAGCATAAAATGTATGTTGCCTTCTCCAAAACTCTTTGATTCCACCAAGCCATATTTATTGTAATACACCAAACCTAGCGGTATCAAATGAGATTTTTCTTTTTGAAAAAACAATATGCTTTTCTATTCTGTTTTCAGAACACTATGCAACTGTTGCTCTGAATTTTGTGCCTGTGGTAAGACAAACAGAGTTAAAGCTAACCTGCAAAGGAGTTCCAGTTTGTAAAGAAGAAAGCATGAGACAGTGCTGGGAGAAGCAGCATTTTGAAGAAATAAAGAGGTTTACTGTAGCTTTTGGCAACCCTGAACAGTTGGATTAGCTAGAAGACATTTTATAATGGTATTATACTTTTTTTATAAGTGGGGAAAAAAGTTCATTCTTCACTAAACTTCCTTTTTTTCCCCCTTTTTTAAAAAAAATACAAAACCCTTAATTTATTTTGTGCTAGCATAATTTTAAGTGTTATTTATGAGTCTTCACTGTGAACAAGATTATGGATCTAGAGCTAAAAGCTGTGAGCAATTTAAAATAAAACAGTCATCTTTGTCTAATTACCTTAGCTGTTAAAACTCTGGGACTGAACTGGTAGTTTTGAACACTGGGTTAGTAGTCCAAGTTTCCTAATCTAAAGCTTAGGCCATCAGCTCAAGCCTATAAGATAGTATAAATCAAAGTTTTTGTTTTTTTTTCCCCCAGGGAGTTTGGGGTAATAATTCTATGTAGTAAAGGGCATGTTTCAACCAAAGCAAGACTAACCTGGGTAAGGCACTTGTTCTTCTAAATTCTCTGGGCCCCTCAGCAGAGAAAAGAACATGTAATTCTGGGTGGCAATGGGGACACCTGGTCTACAGGTAAGGGGAAATAATTGCACTTATTTAGCAGCCTTGAAAGGATCTGAGAATGAAAAGCCTTGCTTTTTAAATCGAATTTTCTACCTTTAATACAATTAAATGAAACATAATAGATTCCCTCCCTTCCCTCCCTAGTTCCCCTGACCCAATTTATTTACCTGAAAAATCTGAAGACTGAAGCAACTTAAGTAAACAAATGAAAAGTCATCACAATCAGTTTAATGAAGTGCACAGAATAGCATCGGTCATGTCAATAAAAATAAAACAATTATTTTTACATCAAGTGTGCTTTATTTCCTCCACAGGTATTCTGTTAAATAAAGCACCATATATATACTGCCAGGCCACAGCTAAAGAGGATTCTTTACAGAATCAAATTTCTTGTGGTTGTTTCGTATACAAGTAAACTTAATTTTGATAATAAGAACCACAGCGATCTGAGGCAATCTGCCTCTATTATAAGGTACAAAACTGGCACAGAGGACACCATATTATACACAGTAAAAATGCCATAAGTTTAAATTACATTGTACAGGGCCACGAAACCCTGTTCTCCCAGACAGCCATATTAAATGAAAGCCACTACAGTGAACTCTTAATTACATAAAACATATCCATTATCTGATTGCCCTTAAGAAAAGTGTACTGGAGATGCAAAATTTCTCATCTGGAGTTCTGCCTGACCAAGAATTAAGCCTATAAATCTATCTTGCCATTCAAGCAGAGAGCACTGGACAAACTGAAGCACAAAACAGAAATAAGCAAAACTTATACAAACAGCATCTTGGAAAAAAAGACTTAAAAGCAGACATGCTACATCTAATGTCAAGAAGCAGCTTGGTTTCCTTTGCCAGCTATCCTTGTGACCACAAGAATCGTAGATTCAATGGTCCTACACAGGGTGTCTAAAATGTCATGTTGCTGCATGTGACTAAAGAGTCCTCTGGAATGGCCACAACTGAGTGATAAACTAGTCTCAGGATCCTGGGAGGACAAAGCTTGGCCATCGCAGTTTCTTAAATCGGTTAAGTCAGACAAAACTGCAGAAATTGATGTGGAAGGGAACTCAGGTTCCTCCTCAGTTATGTTAGAATCCTTGGAACTCTGGGGATCTTTCAACTCTCTACAGACTTCTTCAAACTTGCCACTGCTGGACTGATCTTCCATATGCTGTGACCTAATATTCGAAATGTCTTCTGAAAATGAAGATGGAACTTCCATTCTGTACTCTTTGACAGAACTATTTTCAGGGGAGGGAGGATCTTGCTCAGTGCCTGGATCAATAATTGAAGAGTCTCTTGTCTCATTATCTGAAGTGCTAGTTGGAGTCAATACCTCCCTTGGTTCAGTTTTCATATCACTAATGCAGCTGTCAACAGTATGTTCCTCATCACTGCTAACACGCCTTCTTTTAACAGGAGTTGCCTCTTCATCATCTGTGAAAAGAAAACATCTGGACTGAAATGTTTCATTTCCTAACATAAATCATTAAGCTCAGCTGAGGGTAAACAAGTTTGCTTTACAAGAGTTATTAATAGTTAGATCATTTTTCCTACTTGTATTTGAGAAGTAAGAAATCAAATTTTCATTGCTTCACGGTAAACTTCAAAGATTTTTAATTTCATCATTATGGGCACTGCCTTCTACTGACACAGCCTGCAAGCCCCCTAATAACTCAGCAGATGATCTTTAAGAGTTGTCTCTCGTCACCATAAATATGTCCATAAAAGCCCATACTTATACGTTTTCTGGTTTGGAAGTCAGACTTCTCAGAACTAATACTCCCTCTAACAGCTCTCAAGAACCCAAGATCATCTGCATCCCCCTCCCAAGGGTACTGGAAGAAAACTTTAAAGAAGGTGATCTTTGGTTCACTATGTATATGTGTTTAAAAAAGGAGGAAATCATACTATGAACAAGAACTTATATTGGGCTTTACATGTTTTTACATATATTACACTTCAATTTAATAAGTGAGAATTAAAGTCTTTTTCATCATTTTTCATCCTTCAAACCAAAAAGATGAAATCCTATTCTTGTTTTGATTCTTACAGGAAGCAACTTGTTGCTAAAGTGAAAATGATATGAATGGGGGGGGGGGAGAACGGACCACTTGCTTCCTTTGAAAAGTTTGCTGTTCAGAAGATGAGGAAAGCTGAGAAGAGTCTGACACAGACCCTAGATTCAGGAAGCAGATTTCAACGGGTTCATAGGAAAGATAGGCAAGGATCCATGTATTAAAACTCTACAGAGCAAGTTAGCCCAGAAGAGATGGGCAACTCAAGAAGGACATCCTAAAAACATAAAAGGAAACAATTCTAAGAAGGAAAAAAAAAATCTTAAGAGGTTGTTGTGGATACAGAGAAAACTCACCTACCAACTTAGATATAAAAAGACATGTATAGCAAATAGAAGCAAGAACAGGCAAAAGATGAATACAAATGTGTGGCACAATCACAGAATAGTGTCAGGACTGATAACATTCAAAATCAGCTTAGGCTAGTGAAGAAAAATTTTAACATCAACAAAAAGTGGGTAGTAAAAATTTGTAAAAACAAAAAAACAAACAAAAAACAAACTACATTCAGGAAAAGAGGACCAAAAAGGGATGGTACTGCTGCTTGGAATTGTTGTGCCATGACAGTTGAAAAAAGGGAAGGTAGAACTATCCAATTTTCTTAATTTTTATTTTCTCTGCCAAGAAGAATGACCTTTGAACTGTATAAATAGGGAAATGGTCACTGGGAGGGGCTCCTGATGAATTCAAATCAATTGCCCAAGATAAACAATATCTTTGGGTTCTGAAAGAACTGGTGGATTAGATTGTTGAGTCACTCTCAGTGATATCTGAAAGATCATGGAAGAAAGGTATTGTAGGAGAAAAGTACATTTTTAAAAAAGCGACTAGAGTCAGTGAGTCTAGCTTCAATTCCTTGTAAAATTCTATAACACATTACTAAAGAGATGGTTAGGGAATATCTAGAAAGGGCAGCGAAAATCACAAAGAACACAACCTTAGATCATATGAGACTAATCTAATTTTGTTTTTTGACAGTTGCTCAACTGGGAGATAATAGGAATGATATATTGTTTACTGGATTTTGGCAAAATATTGATAAAATCTCATACTATTCATATATATAAAAGATGGAAAGATGTGGGCTAGATTATAGTACAGTTAGAAGGTTTTGGAATTGGTTAAATGGCCAGTCTCATCAGTGGTTCAATGTCAAACTGGCAGGAAGTATGCTAGTCAACACTTTAAAAAAATCAATTTGGATAAAGGCATAGATGGCATGCTCACCAAATCTGCAGATGACACAAATCTAGTGGGGTTAGATAACATCCTAGATGACAGAGTCAGAATTCAGCAAGATCTTGCTAGGCTATTACACTGTGCTTAATAATAGTTAACCACTGCACTTATCACTGATGTTACGATTATCATTTATTTGATCCTCACAACCATCATGGGAGGTAGCTGCTATTATGAGCCCCATTTTACAGATGAAGAAACTGAAGTAAACAGGTTAAGCGACTTGCCCAGGGTCACAGAGCTAGGAAATGTCTAAGGTTAGATTTGAACTCAGCTGTCTAACTGCAGGCCTGGAACTCTATCCACTGTGTCAGCTACAGCTTACACTAATAAGAAAATGTAAAAGGGAAAGTATGAAGTCTTACAAGGGATAAACAAATCAAATTCACAAGTACAGAATGGAGGAGGTATGGTTTGTCGTCATTTTGTCTGAAAAAATAACTGACCTTTAGGTGTCTGCAAGCTCAAAATGAACAGTGTGAAGTGGAAGCCTAGGTTTAGGCAAGTGATCTTGGGCTCAAAGAAGAGGCACAGTTTCCAAGAATAATGAATAAGAATAACTGTACCACTGCACTGCTCTGGTCAGACAACAAGTTCTGGCTGTCACTGTCAAAAAAGGAAACTGATAAGCTAGATTGTGTCCAGAGGAAAAGGCCTTTTTACGTTATGCCATGTGAGGCTTGGTTAAAAGAACTAGAGGTATTGAACTTGGAAAAGAGAAGATTCACTAGGCAAATGATAGCTGGATTCAAGTATCTATCTGAAGGGCCTCCATGTGGAAGAAAAATAACATACCTGTTCTTGGTTTCAGAAGTCAGAATCAGAAGCGATGGGTACAAGTTACAAAGAGACCAATTCATGATTTCAGGAAAAAATTTCTAATAATTAAAGCTATCTTAAAGAAGAATGGGCTGGCTTTGAAAGTAATGAAAGCTTAATGACCACTTATCCAATAATGTATTAGAAATCTTTTTTGGGCACTGGTTGAAATAGATGACCACTGAGATACCTTCCAACTAAATTCTGTGATTCTCACAACAACCTCAAGATAAATACTCGAAGTATTATTTACATTTTAAAGAAAATAGGTTCAGATGAGTTAAGATTTTGCCCAAAGTCACAGAGCTAAGTGACAGAGCTGGGACCAGAACTCGGGTGTGATTCCAAACCCTTCTAAACACCCTTTCTACTATGCAACTCTTCCATGAACTACATAGTCTTCTCTCCCCACTCCACAGAACACAAGTTCAGTTTCATACCAACCTTTAGTTTTCCTTTCTTTGGTTTCTTGTTCTTGGAGTGAATTTCTTTGTTGTTGACAAGTCCTGCACTTGCTTAAAAGCTCTTGAAGAGTTGGGATCAGAGCTGGGTTCAGTTGTTTGGGAGTGTGCACCGAAAGGAGCAAAGCAAGTGCCCGAAGGTCCTATAAAAACCCATGATAATATGAAAAACTTCTAAAAATATTTTTTCAGTACATAAAATTTATAGTTCACTTAGAAATCTCTTGAAATCTTTCCTGTGTCCTCTTGAGTATACTCCTAGTACCAAGCATCCAGACAATTACATATGGGGCCAGGACAAGTTACAGAGCTAACTAGTAAACTCTAGAAAGAAAAGCAAGTTAGCAAAAATATGTAGGCCCACAGGAAGGCGTACTATTTCAAAATATAAACCAACGGAATTTCACTTTGTATTATGAGATGACTGGCAATTGCAAATAACTTATATGTGACTTAATCTTTTACTGTATAGTAGTTCATCTAAGATCAGAGGGTATTTCGTGTGTGTGTGTGTGTGTGTGTGTTGTGTGTGTGTGTGTGTGTGTGTGTGTGTGTGTGTGTGTTTCATGACCTAATCTCTAATGGGTTTTAAAAACAGCAAGATTTTTCTTTCTATGCAGTCCTTTCCATCTCATATGTTTCTCATCTTAATGATAGTATTGCTACTCAATGTTACACACTAATCACACTGTGATGTATTTCCCTGACAGAAAATACACAGCTGGATATGGTTATGTCACTAAAAGAAATTAGCTGAACAAATCCTGTCCTATTCAGTATTTTTTATTGTTTTCACAATGGATAGTGCAACAATCAGATTAAT